GACTTGCCTATTAGACAAATAAATGACTTTACAATTCTTTTTGTTTCAACATTATATAGTAGTTTTAGGAAAAAAGTATTTTATGCATGAAAAGTGAAAATCAAATAAACAATAAAAAAGTAATAATTAAATCCTTTATATAATGAGAAATTTCAAAAAATACCACTTTTTCAAAATTATATTTTCTTTATATTATTTATGATTGGGTTAATTATGTTTTATTAGGGTTTATTTATGAGGGTTTAGGAGGTTTTAGAAGTCAAAACATTTTTTACTGTTTAGAATTTTAAGATATAAGGTTTAAAAATATATAATTAGTGGTATTTTTGCAAATGAACACCTCTAAATGGTATTTTTGCAAATCTGCACATAAAAAATGGTTTTTTTCTATGGTTTTTTTTAGGTTAGTTAAGTGGATACTTACACTATGATACATTGATAACTAATTTAGTAAATGACTAGTATGATTTTTTTAAATATTTATTTGCAAGAAACACACTCCATTGGGGGTGTTATTTATCTAAATAACATACCATTTTATTAATTAACATGTTAGAGTTTTAAAACTTAATATTATTTTATATTTAAAAACATTTTAATTGTGAAAAATAGTAATAATTATTTGGAATTTAGAATTAGGATTGGAAATTAGAACTTGATAAAATTAGGATTGAAAATTAGATATTTAGGTTTGGAATTTAGAATTAAGATTGGAAATTAGATATTTAGGTATGAAATTTAGAATTAAGATTGGAAATTYYAACTTGATAAAATTTAYTATATAAATATTTTATCATGATTATAATTAATATTATGGTTTAAAAATATTAATTTCTTTCATTTTAAATGTAATTTTTTAGAAAATTTTAATTACAGTTTAAATTTCGGATTTATAATTTTTATATTTATCAAATTAAAATTTAATTTTTAATTCTGATTCTAGATTTTTATTTAGAATTATGTGGTGAATTTATTATTTTTTTAAATAATTTGAATTAATTTGAGGTTCGGGTTTAAATTGGCCAATGCTAAAAAATCAGATCCAAAAAGGTCCGATGGCAATAGTTCAGGTTCAAAAAAACCATTTCTTTTGTCATGTCATTGTTCCGTTGACTAACGGTAACTTGGTCCAAGTCAGCATTAATCTCAAATTTTTTGAATACTTAAATCCATTAATCCAGGTCGAAATCTACCACAACGACCTTAGATCCAATGGTTCAGATTCATTATCAGTTACATGAACAATAATACACACAAAATTTCTTCACAACCAGTGACTATCTCTAACTAGAAGATGTATACAATAAGCTGAAATGGTTTAATCAGATGACGATAATCGTATATCGTAATCCCGAAGATCGTTACAATGGCGGTTTCAAGCAGCTCAAGGTATGAATCCCATGGCGGAACTGAGCCTGAAAGTGACGAATATCAGATACAATGTGATCAAACCAATGCCCATTACTTTGTTCGGTCTCATATCGTTGCGCGGGAGCATCACGAGAGACCAAATCAATCCGAATATGAGAAACCCTAGAGTGTAGAACAAGCTATTGTCTTTCGGGATCATGTAAATCTCTGGACTTTTCGACCAAGCACCAAGTAGCATTGACATACCTAACCCAACCAGATAACGCGATTTGTACGCCATCTCCACCGTTCATCGACAATGCTATATTTGAAACTAAGTCACCCACTGAGTTTCCCCAAGCGAGTACGGTTAGACCGAGTATCGACGGGTTGATTCCATAGATTCCGCCAAATGTAACCAATAGAGCAACAAGTTCGTTTGCAATCATGTAGAACCATACAATACTCATGATGAATCCACCAAGTACCCAAGGGATTAAGAATCTTTGAGGCGGGCGATCAGGTTCTGTGTTTTTGTACGCGAGAAATCCAAGAGAAGTTCCAATCGCAATGCCGATAAAGTAGGCCACAGCGCGAGCTTGAAAACGCGAATCATCTTGGCTACTCCAAAGAAAAGAAAGAAGGACAGGAACCAATGAGACACTAGCTACAGCGTCCGTCTTTGACCAGCTATCTTCCTCGATCAACGGGATTGTTAACCGTCTAGGAACCATCAGTGGAGTTTCCAACAAAGATGTAACTTTAGAACATAACGAACTTTCAACTTCTCCACCATCTTCAGTCCATCCCCATGGAGGCCTTTCTTCATCATTCCACCAGCTTTAGCGAAATGATTCGAATAGATAGCGACATTTGTAGCCCACATCCACTGTGGTAGAGAATCATGCAACCTCGGTGGACCTTCCTCGGTGTCTAATTCTAACAACGGACTGTACATAGGAGTATCCTCTTCAACACTTGGCGAGAACACACTTCCGTGCATCGGTAGCAAATGCGTAACATAATCCAGCTTCAACCTCCTCGAATGTTTCCTCAAAATCTCATTCGCAGCCACGAGAGAAGCATAAAGCACATAAATCGAAACAAACGCAATCGCAATACCCACAGTAACTTTCCCAACCATCAAAATCACCAACAAAGCCACCAACGTGAAAAGAAAGAAACACAAATCCCTGACGAAACATTTCTTATCGATCTTAACTTCTTTATCCG